TAAAAGTTTCCCTTTATTTGAAACGTTAAGCCTTTCTTCAGTAAGTATGTTCTTAGTTATAGGTCCTTTGTTTTTGTTCCTTATTAATTTTATCAAATTACCCTCAATCCCTTACTTTCCAAGGGATTTTTTTCAAAGCTCATAAAAGCTTTTCAGCAAACATGATCAATAGAGAGGATTTTGTGATTTTTATGCTTTAAAACTTGTGGTAGAATGCATTGATTTTCAAATATTCAACTGGCAGTGAGTTCTCGGAAGAAGTTCCACTTAGCTGTCGCATACACTTACTGTTACAATTTTGAATTCCAATGGGCTCATATTTTATAGAAGATCTCTGTCCTTTTTGTTTGTTTTTCATTTCAATTTTCTTTCTCTTACCTTTATGTGATTATTTGAGCATATTTATGAATTGTACTTTTATGTCTCAACAGTATTTTTAAAGTGTATTTCTCCTCCTAGTCTTCTTTGTTATTGGCTGTCCTAAATAATACATTACACAATGTCAGGTGCACAGTTCAATACATTACACTTATGTTGAAATTGAGCTAAGAGTATAATCATTGCTGATGTTTTTTCTTAGCATATTCTTTACTACTCTTGTTATTGTCTGTCTTTTTTTTGTTTTGTTTCCTCTTGTTTCCAGAACTTCATTTGACAATTCTGTCAGGATATTTTGATGACAAATTCTCTTAATTTTTTTTTGGTCTGAGAATTTTTAAAAAATCTGTCATTCATTTCAAAAGCTAGTTTCCGGATATTTAGAATTCAGGTTGGCATTTCTCTTATTTCAGCAATTGCAAAATACTCTGCCACGTCCGTCTGGCTTCCAAGGTTTCTGTTGAGAAATGTGTTGTCTCTTGAATTGTTTTCCCCCTTTAGATAATGTGTGTTTTTTCTTGCTGCTTTCCAGATGTTTGGTTTTTAGTTCTAAGTTTGGCTGTGATATGTCCTGGCTCAGATTCTTTGGGCACCTCTTGTTTAGAGGTTTACATAGTTTTTTCCATCTCTAGAATCTTTTGCCAGATTTGGAACGTTTTTAGTGATTATGTCTATGAATAGTTCTGTAGTTTGATTCACTCCCTCCCCATGCTCCACCCCACTCCTTTTGAAATACAGTGAAAGGGATATTAAGTTTTTTCTTTTAGTACTTAGGCTCTGTTTATTTAAAAGATATGTTTAGTGTCTGTTAGATTGAGTAGTTTCTGCTGTCTTCCAAATCACTGAATTTTTCCTCTTTCCTCTGCAGGCTGCGCTTATCCATTTGCTTCAATTTTTTCAGTTGCAAAATTTTTCTTTGGTTGCTCTTGTGTCTTCTAGTTTTTACTGTAGAACAAGAAACTCCACCAGCATGTTTGTGTAGTTCTACTAAAGATAATATTTATTATATTACTTTTGCCTTTTGAAAACATACAATATAAAGATAAGTGATAAGTCTATGATCTACATACTGGTACTCCTGCTTTAGGGACTATTTTCTACATGGTTTATATTCTTTTGTTATTAAATTACTACGGTGATGTTAATTCTCATTAATTCAACAAATATTTACTGCCTGCCTATCATGGCATTCTGGGGGTTAGGGAGCCAATCAGATATTTTTGCTTTGACTTCCCTTTATTTATCCGCTCTTGATACAATGAAAGCATATTAGAAGAAGAAGGTACGCGAACTGAATTTTATTTTATGTAAAGCAGTCAAGAATTCTGATTTTTAGGCTCTATTCCTTTTTATTACCTAATACACAAGATTATTAATGCTTTGCTATGAAACACTAATACATTTGGCAAGGACTGCAGGTTTTCAGAAATAAAAATCTTTATTTTTTTGGCTAAGCATCCAGGCATGGGCACAAAAATTCACTAGCCTATTCATTTTTATTTGTTTCAATGAGGTGTACTAGTACAATTATTTTATGTTATCAGACAGTTTGTTAAGAAATTCGATAGTTCACAGACTGAAGAATAGAATTTTTCTTCATGTTTTATGAATAAATGAATAAATAAACGAACAAATAAATAGCTATTTTTTTCTTTTTAGAGCTTAAGCAAACACTTCCCAAGGTGTTTTTTCCCAAGGTGGAGTACCCCCCCTAAGAGAGACTTTTTTATTTTCAATTTTATATATATATTTAAAGATTTATTTGTTTTTATTGGAAAATCAGAGATACACAGAGGAAGAGAGACAGAGAGGAAGATCTGCCCTCCACTGATTTACTCCCCAAGTGACTGCAATGGCCAAAGCTGGCCGACCCGAAGTCAGGAGCCAGGAATCTCTTACAGGTCTCCCAAGTTGGTGCAGGGTTCCAAGGCTTTGGGTTGTCCTTAACTCCTTCCCATGCCACGAGCAAGGAGGTGGATGGGAAACCAGGCTGCCAGGGTTAGAACTGGCATCTATATGTGATCCAGCTCTCCCACATGGGTGCAGGGTCCCAAGACCTTGGACCGACCCCAACTGCCTTCCCAGGCCACAAGTAGGGAGCTGGATGAGAAGCGGAGATGACAGGATTTGAACCAGTGCTCATGTGGGATCCCAGCTCATGGAAAGCAAGGATTTTAGCCCCTAAATACTGAGCAGGGCCCCTGTGTCTTATTTCTAAAGTGTCCAGTTGATGCTGATGATACTGTTTTGTGGACCTCACGTTGAAACTCCATTTAATTAATCTATATCCCTTTTTCAACATCTTCACCTGTCTTTTTGTTGTTGTTGTTCCTTTGATCTGAATTTTTCATTTGGAATCTAAATGGCTGTTGCTAGCATTTCTGATCTTTATGTTGACAAATCAAATGAACACATTTCACATTCTCATTTTAGAAGTCATTTAATGTGGCTGAATGTACTTGATTGTTCCTTCTTTTTACAAAACTGTCCTGTTTAGTTTAGAGACTTTGCTTTTCCACACTTTCTTATTCTTGCTTGCACTTGCTTACTCAATAACCTTCTCTCTCTGTTACTCTCAAATAAAAGTCTTCATATCAGACTTAGATCTAGGAATTGGATCTATGTCTTTTTCATATCTTATTTTGTCCTCTGTTTCTAAAGGATCTTGTTTTCCCTGTCTGAATGCTAATAATTTCCAATTTATCTTCTACATTAAAGCTTTTTCTAAACTTGAGTACATCCACAGTGATTTATTTCTTAGCTGCTCACTTGAATACCTTGTACATTTTCAAATAACGTATCAAATAAATCACCATATTTCACAAATTACATGATGCCCTTGTAAAATAATTTACATATCCAGGAATGTATGTATCTTCTGTGAGCTAGAGTCTTTTTGACCTACCGCTTCATTGAGAAAATGTGTTCTTCCAGTATTCTCTATGCCATGAGTCTTTCCTTTTGTTGAGTTGTTAAAGCTGGACACCTGGTGTTAATTTGATACTTCAGTCCTCAATGCTGATGTTGCTATCTCCAAAATATTTCTCAATTCTCTTTTTTTTCCATGTGTATTGTTATAACTTTTGTTCAAGTAATCATCACCTTTCTCATAAGTTGTTTTTTCCAACCAAGTATGTACTTACACTGATCTTTCAAAAATATAAATCTGACTGTATCACCATTTTACTTAAAATTCTTCAGTGGTGAAATTTATAACTTTAATATGACATCAAAAGAGCTTGCCTGTGCTGCCTTACCACTTCCATTTAGCATTATATTCCTCATATTTCCTGTCTGTGGCACAATGATGTGTACAGTTCTTTTACAGTAATGTATTGATGCTTCTTAGAATGTTCTTTGCTCCACTTTTTTTTTTTTTAACTCTGCTAACCAATTTGTCTGTTGGGTCACATCACTTAGATCTAGTCTCATTTTAAATATCATCTTTATAGGCATTTTCTTGACTCCAAAATCTAAATAAGGTCTTATTGTAGTCTAAATCATTACTTTCTTAATAGTGCTTTGTCCTTTCCTATATAACTCTGTGGATTTGTTGTATTTAACTTCACTCTGTTGTCATCCTTTTTCAGTGTTTTATCCTTTATACCAGGACTTAGCTTAATACACGGGGAGTATTCAGTACATATTTTAAAATATATCAATGAATTTTTAAAAATTTATATGAACATATAAACTAAATTATTTTAATGTAAAAATATGTAAATTTAAAATATATATCCATTCTCACTTATCATAGACATATATTATTTAAACTAACAATTATTTTATATTTCCCTTTGATATGGATAGTTTCTTTAAAAAGTTGAAATATTTTCAAAATAATACTGAATAATTAATGACATTTTTATGACTATAAAATGAATGAATATCTTGATGGTTTCAAAGTTGATATTTTATGTAATCAGTATTTTTTAACCACCCAAATTTTAGTGGAGATTTAATATTTCAAATGATAATATACTGCATCCCAGAAAGAACATTTATTTATTTGACATTTGGAATAGAGGTATTGGCAAATAACTGTTGAATTTTTAAATGTGGATAATCAATTAATCATTGGAGAAAAATTCCTACCTTTCGTCAGCATGAAAAAAAATAGTAACAGATGGAGTTGATAATCTTTCTTTTTTAGTATGTATAATTTTTCTTTCTTTTTATTTATTATTAGCCTTCTTTCTTCTTGTAGGAATTTTGTTGTGTAGATTCTGTCTAGAACACATAACCCTTATATTTAGCATTCTACATTTTATCCTGTTGGAATCTAGGTTTTCTCTTGATGTAAGTCATGGGTACTATAGACAAGGTTCTTAAAAGCAGACAGGATCCCACAGCTTAAAATGTTGATAATGTCTGTCTGTCCTTTTTCCCCCCCGCTGTCTCCTTTACTGCACTTTCTGTCTGTCTGACTCACAGGAGACATGGATTACCACTGGTTGGACCATACGTCTTGGCATAGCAGTGAGGCATCCCCAATGTCTTTGGTGAGACATGTGGAGCCTTACTATATACTTTTCGTTATCATTTCACTTTTCCTTTTTTATTTACACCTTTGCATGTTTTCTTTTTTGTATCTTTTTTTTTTCTTTATCCCACACCTGTAGGGGACAGTCAAAAGGGAAAAAGAAAAACTAGTGAGCAGGCAGTTTTGTCGGACTCTAACACCAGGTCTGAGAGACAAAAGAAAATGATGTGCTTTGGTGGCCACTCTTTGGAAGAGGATTTGGAATGGTCTGAGCCTCAGATTAAGGATTCTGGGGTAGATACCTGTAGTAGCACAACCCTTAACGAGGAGCATAGCCGTAGTGATAAGGTACTGAGACTGTGGAGCCTGCCTTTTACCCTGCTCATTTGGTCTTCGTTTGCTCTCTGTCACTCATTGAAAAATCAGAACATGAGAAGAGGACAGGACATTTCAAGGATCAATGTAGCATTTCTTAAGGTGCAGAAAAGAAAAACAAAACCGAATCAAACAATCCAAAAACTCTTTGCTTGCTCTGCTGTTTCTATTGTTGACAGCATACCAAAAATTAAGTAAATGAAAATAAAACTTAGGAACAAAGGAATGTTTTATCAGTGGTTGCATGAGATAATTTCGTAATATTATGCTAAACCACAAATAACAAGCAATTTTTCTTGGATTGGCTTATTTGATTGCTTGCATATATTTTCCTTGGGATGAAACATCAATTAATAGTTTGAATCCCAGGCAAAAGGGAGATAATTGGGTCTGTTTGCACAGAAAAAAAAAAAAAGTTGTTTTTCTTTTTTCCCTTTCGCTGTCATTTGGCTCTTTTGTTTTATTGTCCTAGTATTTTCATAGAGTATTCATTAGTATTAGAGCCATTGTCATCTGCTTTGATATTTGTTATTTTTGCTTTTAGTATAGTAAGACTTCTGAAATTTTTTTATCATATAGATGTGACTGACTTGTACTTAATTTTTGCCTGCTAAATTTTGCATGAAGATATGCATGTTGCCTTTAGAAAACTGTGAAACTACTATGATTACACAAATTATTTATTTTATATGTAGCATATCATTCATTAGGAATGGTGTGTCATTATTTATAAGGCTTTGGTTCTGCTCTGAAAAGAAATAAACTACTAGTGTTTTCAAAGTTATTCAACATCACGCACCATTAAATTATATAATATTTTTGAAAACAGATTAAAGATCTGAAAGTCAGTGAACCTACGGAAAGTGGAAAATTGAATCTAAAATTTCCACTTTTGAATGAAGCCTGTTCCTCCTGCACAGAATCAGTTGTAAATTATTGGAAGTTTTTTTTTTATTTGAATCTAGAAACTTTCCTGAAGAAAACCCGCATCACAAATGTCCAGATTCCATGGGTTATTCTTATTTGACTTTTGAAAGTTTATATAATATAGCTTTCCTAGCTTTCAAAATTGTTTCAATAGTAAATTGTCATTTTTAAGGAATTTTACTGCATAGTTGAAAAGTACCTTTTCAATTTGTGAATTTTTTTTATTAATCTTGGGTATGTAAATAATTAGAATTTGAATTTCTTTAGAATTTTAAGGATATTTTGAATTTGGCATAGACACAGAGCTCTAGTATTGGATCAGAAAACTGAATCTAAAATAATTATTTAATGAAAAATAGTTGAGATCATAAAGTCTAGGTTATAAGCAAAGTATGGAAAGCCCTTGTGATCAGTATTCTGTAATAGAAACTGGTTTGTGTAATCATAACACTTTGAAATTCTGACGTTTAGAAAAACTGTGCAACCAGATACTGTTTTCCATGAAATAACATGCATTTTTATTGTTTGTTAATTGTAACATGTCAGCACCCTGTGACCTGGCAGCCATCTAAAGATGGAGATCGCTTGATTGGCCGTATTTTATTACACAAACGTCTGAAAGATGGAAGTGTACCTAGAGATTCAGGAGCAATGCTTGGCCTGAAGGTAAGTAATAATGTGCAAGAGATGCTGGCTCTGCATCACTTTAGGTTTATCAGAAAAACAAAAGATCTATTTAATGTGTTTACCCATATGAATGTAGGAGATTGTTTTTTTTCCAAGAATTCATAAATCTTTACATTCAATATGCATTTTTATTTCCAAGTATTATAAAAGTCACAAATATAATATGAGAAGGCATTGAAAGTGACCTGATTAGTACACATTAAAATCCTAAGTATGATGTTCAGTCTTATTTTACCTATATAATTTGCCCTTTAAGTCTTTATCTATGATTTTATGTGATAGGATAATCTTTAGTGTGATGGTATTAGTTAATTTATGCAAGTTTAAGTTATTCGTTACGTGTATTACCCATGCATATAATTGCATTAATGCAGTAAAATGTGAGTGTTTGTGTAAGGGAGAGAAAATATTGTTTGTAATTTGAAAACTAAAAAATAAGTAGGGGATAAAATAAATATTGATTTATATTGTAACTATGACATCTCAGATAAATATTTGGTAATTACAATAATTAGAGCTGTTTTGCTTTTTTATGATTCAGTAGAGTAAATGTTTTAGAGTCAAACCATTTTGCAGAAGTTGTGGTATAGAATAAGGCAGGTAAAAGATAACAGGAAACTTTGGATAGAGGTGGAATTGGGCAGCTAACATTTCTTCTGGTGATTACTATGTGGAAGGCATTCATCTAAGAATTTTTTACATCTTATTTAACATTCACCATAGATGGGTTCAGTGCATTGTAATTTTTTCATGATTTAAAGGTGGTGTCAACTGTGGGATTTAAATTATATCGTACTACTATAACATTTCAACAATGGTGGTGGAGAAAACAGAAATTTTTAACTGAATTCCAGTTGTTGTAGTTACCAGCTACCTAACATTGGGCTGTGAAGCTTCTCTTAGACTCATATCTGAGATAGACTCACATCTATCCAATGTGGATAATACTGTTATGAGATAAAATAACAAACATGTAAATACTTAAATAATATGTTAACAATAATGACAATAATTGGTATAATTATCAATTATTATTAAAGTTATAAGCCAAAACATTATAAAGTTTACATAGAGCTCCAATTCTTTAAGATCTACACATTTAATTTTCAGAATTACATATGAAACTCATTAGCTTAGATAAACTAAATTTCATTGAGCCTAATTTACTGAAACAGAATAATTGTATGGAGTAAGATAAATCAAGGATTTTTGAGTTAATTTGTCGTTTACTCAATTTAGAAGAGAAATTACTTCAGTCAATGAAGTTATTTACTATTATTTGCCTCATTTGCCATAAATTTGATCTATTGATTAAATGGCAGTTGATCAGAACCAAAGCATTAATCTTCAGGATCGAGTCTTTGAAGAACACAGATGACTCCACCAAATTATTCTTATTTTTAAAGAAGATATATCTGAATATAAATGTAAAAATAGAAAAACTGGAATGTAAATGTTTAAGATTTACATTACTTCTCAGGCAACAAGCATATTTAATATTATTCTCAAGAAATGCTAGGTCATTAAAAACATTATCAAGATGCCCAAGTATTACTACTGAAAATTAATAGCATACCATAATCAAAGCACCAAATATTTTGTATTATAACACTTAATTTTATAACTAGACATTTTATTTAATTATATACTACTATAATAGCATATTTTATAATAGACCCAAGTATTTTGTAAAAGGAATTCAAATGACCAATTGTGGTTGTTTCTAATATACAGTGTTTTCCAAGGCAAGGTTTTACAAATTAGTTCTTAGGATACCCCCTCCCAAATTATCTCCAGCACATTAAGTTGTAATTTTAGAAGTTACAAATTGTTCTAGATAGTTTTGCAAGAGTCTTCAACAGTGTTCATTTTAACAAAATGCCTGGTTTAATACTTTCCTCTTTTAAACAGGTAGTAGGAGGGAAGATGACTGAATCAGGTCGCCTTTGTGCATTCATTACCAAAGTTAAAAAAGGAAGCTTAGCTGATACTGTAGGACATCTTAGACCAGGTAAGTTTTCATCTTTGAATATTTCTGTTTAAGATACTAGGCTTAAGAAACTATGTAAAGGGCCCGGCGGGATAGCCTAGTGACTGAATACTCACCTTGTAAGCACCCGGGTTCCATATAGGCACTCATTCATGTCCCAACTGCTCTACTTCCATCCAGCTTCCTGCTTGTAGCCTGGGAAGGTAGTAGAGGATGGTCCAAATCCTTGGGATCCTGCATTCATGTGGGAGATCCAAGGATGCACCTGGCTCCTGGCTTCAGATCAGATCAGCTCTGGGTGTTGTGTTCACTTGGGGAGTGAACCAGTGGATGAAAGTTCTATCTCTCTGTCTCTCCTTCTCTTTGTAATTCTGACTTCCCAATAAAACCAAATAAACATTAAAGAAAAATAAAATAAATTATGAAAAAGTTACCCTTTTTTTATAAGTGTATCTAGCCAGCTGTGAAGAATTCATGTCCCTGAGATGGAAATATTCATTCAGTCATTGGAAAATGTACCATATTCTTGAGTCTTAGTAGCTAAAATAATTTTTCATTTACTGATTGCACTTTTTATTGATGGATTTTCACAATTTTTTTTTGTAAAGATTTAGTTTTTTTCATATTTGAAAGGCAGAATTACAGAGAGAGGAGAGAGTAAGAAAGATCTCCATCCTCGGTTCATTTCCCAAATGGCTGCCATGGCTAGAGCTGGGCTGGTCTGAAGCAGGAGCCAGGAGTTTCTTCCAAGTCTCCTATGTGGGTGTAGGGCCCCAAGCACATAGACTGTAGTGCACTGCTTTCTGAGGCACAACATCAGGATGCTGCACTGGAACTTGAAGCTGTCCCCATATTCGATGACAGCAGTATAGACCAAGGATTAGCCTGGTAAGCCATGGCAGCAGCCTTTATTGTAGTATATTCTAAAATCCACCTAATATTTATCTTGCTTCTCAAAGACCTTCTTTTTCTTTTGAAAAATAATGCCAAAATCGTTTAGAAAACGAACTAATCATTACGCATTTTACAAGAGACTTCAGTTAACAGAAACCCCCAAAGGAAATAAGATGCTTAGTTGCGTGGATATTGAGAAACCTGGGGCACAATTTTAAAACTTTCGAAAGATACAACAGGTCTTGAGAATTGTCCAGAATTAGAAATCACATAGAGATAATGTTTAGGTAATCTTTTTCCTTATGATCATTATTCTGGGTGACATGCGCTATTTGCTATTAAATTTTGTGCCACTGAATCTGTTCACAGTGTATTTTTTTAATTCAGTAGTGGTGATCTTATTCTGTGGAGTTCATTGATGCTTAGATTGCTTTTATTTCAAATATATTTTATGGCATTAGTTTTTCTAAGATTCTTGCTCACATACACTACAGGTGATGAAGTTTTAGAATGGAATGGAAGGCTGTTGCAAGGAGCCACGTTTGAGGAAGTGTACAATATCATTCTGGACTCCAAACCTGAACCACAAGTGGAACTTGTTGTTTCAAGGCCTATTGGGTAAGTTGATTTTAATACTTCATATGTGTAGAGTTTAGCACAACCAAAACGTTTGTAATGTGCAGTCTAAAAATATGTGAATGCCTTATGAAAATAATTTATTTTATAGACAAGTTCTTTTCTTCCTGCTTAGCAAAAGTATCCTGCCCTTTACTTGATTTGATAAAAATGTGTGGTTAATATGTGGCTTATTGCAGGAGAGGAATACATATTTAGATGTTTATTATTCTTTAAAGATTTATTTGTTTTTACTGGAAAGAAAGATTTACAGAGAGAGGGAAAGACCGAGGGAAAAGTATCCTACTCCCTGGTTCACTCCCCAAATGACAGAGCTGAGCTGACCTGAAGCCAGGAGTCAGGAGCGAGGAGTTTCTTTTGGGACTGCTTCATGAGTGCAATGCCCCAAGGCTTTGGGCCATCATTCACTGCTTTTCCAGACACAAGCAGGGAGCTGAAAGGGAAGCAGAGCAGCTGTGTCGTGAAAAGCGCTCATTTAGATTGTTGTTTCTGGCAGAGGGAGAATTATTGACTTGGCACCGAGGTGTCCTCCAGATGTCTAGTTTTTTTATTATTCTAGTAGCCTTATAGATGGCTACTGTTGTTAATAGGGGAATACCATACTAGCAGTTACTTATGTTTCATTACCTGTGGTCCTCTATATTGTAAAAATGATGATGATCACATAGTTTATAAATTACACATTTTTAAAAATATGCTTAACTACCAGACAGAATAGTTTAAGAAACAATGAAGTGTGTTTTTAATGCTGATTAGATTATCAAAAATACCAAACTACTTTATGTGTTTGTAACTTGTCGTCTATATTAATTTGACAATCTCCAAAAAATATCAATTATATTAGCATACTATATTTTATATATTAATATAAGTATAACAATCATTAGCATTAATTTGGCAATTATAAGAAGTTGACCATAAATCTGAACTTATCACCTACATTATAATAATTTTTCATTGGGCTCAGTGTGGTAGCGTAACAGCTAAAGTCCTTGCCTTGCACACATTGGGATCCCATGTGGGCACCAGTTCTAACCCCAGTGGCCCTGCTTCCATCCAGTTTCCTGCTTTTGGCCTGGGAAAGCAGTAGAGGATGGCCAAAAGCAGTGGGAGCCTGTAGCTGTGTGGGAGACCTGGAAGAAGCTCCTGGCTCCTGGCTTCGGATTGGCTCAGCTCCAGCTGTTGCAGTTGCTTGGGGAGTGAATCATCGGACGGAAGATCTTCCTCTCTGTCTCTCCTCCTCTCTGTATATCTGCCTTTCCAACAAAAATAAATAAAATATTTTTTTAAAAACATTAATATTGTTCACTATTACAAAGTTTTTATTTTGTAGAAGATTGTATTCTTATATAGGGCACAGATCATTTTCTCATATACAGATTTACTTTTTTGTATATATTCCCAGGAGTAGGATAATTGGGTCATATGGTAGATCCATTTTCAGAATCTATACCAATGTCAAAGAAATGTCTAAATAAAAAGTGTTAGCATGATATTTAAACCTATAGTGAAATATTAAATACATTTTCAACATAAGGCATTGAAGCAGGAGACCACATGAACTATTATTTGTTGAAGAAGAGTAATGCTTAATTTATGGTAATTCAGGAATTTAGATGTGGTAGTTATATCTCTTTAGTACTATAGAAAATGATTTAGGTTGGTGACTTATTTTAATCAAAAAATACCTTTAATTAGCATGGGGTACTTATTTCTTATATATAATAATAATACTCTTATCAAAAAGTTATCCTTAGTGCATATGGTCCTCTTGTAAGACAGATGATAATTATCAAAGTAATGTTGTGTTCAGTGTTGAGTTTCATGTGTTGTTTTGCTGTCATTTCAGAGATATACCTAGAATCCCGGAGAGCACGCATGCCCAGCTGGAATCCAGTAAGTGTCATTTCTCTTGAAGGAAATGTTACTCATAATATTTTTCATGAGGAGCCAAATGACATATTTAACTATTTGTATAAATTAAGGGATGTTAAAGCCTTCCTATCAAGTACAGTCCTATGATGATGGCAAAATATAGCATTCCATAGTATTTTAAGATTTTTGAAGCCACATTGTCTTCATTGTAGATTTTTAGACAGTTTTTCTGTGGCATGCTATAAGTAACTGAATTTAAATGAAGTGCAAATTAGGTAAGTTCTGACATGCTTGCATACCCATGAAATCATGATGAGAATAAAATAATCAAGAACATATTTTCATCATTCCCAAGAGTTTCACCCTCAAACTTAGCACAACTTTAATATTTACTTCGTAACCTCAGAGTGAGCATATTACATGAAACAAAAAAAGAAAAACTGTGTTTATTCTCATTTACATTTTTAAATATGGAATATTAGTCCTGATTTAACTTCAAAGGTATGTGTGGTAGTGAATATAGGTGTTTAACTGATGTTAACACATGAAGGCTTCTTCAGAATGAACTTTTCATACTAAGGTATTTAACCCGTGACAGTCAGACAATGACTATTGAGAGACAAGAGAACAGAATGGATCTTGCATTGAAATATGTTTTGAGGATATGCCACATTTAGAATCAAGGACTAAAGCAAGAACTTGAAAGGAGAGCCTTCCAGGTCCAGCTGGTGAATGACACCAAGGCAGGAAAGCCCAAGGCAGATTTGAGGAGATGAAAGTAGGCAGAGAGGCTGAATGGAAAACAAGAGGACAATGGTGCAAAGGAGGGAAGTCGTGATTACCAAATGGCATAGGCTCTGTGCCTCACTTTTGGGACTTTGGCTTTTCTCTGAAGGAAACTTAGAACTAGAAAGATGATAATGAGGTGCGGTGTGTGTTTTAGAAACTGGCCAAGGATAAAAGCAGTGAGAAGACTTATCTAATAAACTGGGGATACGATGATGTTGACCTAGACTGTAGTGACAGCAGTGAAGGTGGTGAGACACGCTCACATTTGCCAAATATATCAAAACTGTGACTATACTGTAAGAATAGATATATTTAAAGATTCCTAATTTTTTCATTTTTTATGCTACATTTCCATAGGCTCAGGGATTTCCCTTGCTACCCTTTTCATTCCCCCTTCCCCTACCGCTGAGAAATAATTTTTTTTTTACTTTTATATATATAAATATAAATCTTTACAATTCTTCAATAGAGTCAGTGCAGTTCTTTTGGCATTCCAAAGCTGTCCAATTTGAAATATGGTTACATGAGTTGTTTGAAATAGCACCTATGGCTAGATGCAAAGTCATTTAATCAAAAATAATATCTCAACCATGAGAAACAATCAATATTATTATTATCATGATGATGTGATGGTATTATCATTATCGTTGTTGCTCTCATTTTGCCTAATACGTAATTTGTACTTAATGTTATGCTTGTATAACACTTGGGCAGCAACCCTGGGATAGGTGAAATTTTTATTCACTCAGATTACTCAGAGATTATATGTGCCGTGTGTTAGCTATCTTCTTATGGCTGTTAAGAGGATTGTTTCTACGGAGACAGGAATCCTTTCTCAAATAGCATCTGATCTTATTCTTTAAACGTTGAAGATGAAGAAGGTTCTAGAACTAGTCGATCTAGAATTCTGTTTCTGACTCCTCAATCATCTCTTTTTGTGGTTTTGATTTTTAAGATACATGACTCCTAAGTTTCTATCATGAAAAGCATCTATCATGGTCCCTTTTTCCCTAACTGTTCAAATAATTTCTAATGGTTAGTGTGTTTCTGCTATCTGAAATGTTATAGGATTTGGAGTAAGAGAACAGATTACTTCTTATCATAAAGATACTATTCTTCCTACTTTCTAAGAAACATAAAAAACAAACGAGCAAGCGAACAACCATTGCTCTTCCCTCTGCTCTTAACGCCTGAGGTTTTGGTTCCGTTTTGCTTCAATACGCCCTGTTGAAGGAATTGACCCACCTCCGTCTCCAGCTGGCATACATTGCACAGGCTCATTTTGGACAGTTTTTACTCAAACATCTGATTCTGTTTTTCCAGTTAACTGCTTTTCATCTTCCTTGAAATGTCTCTTAGGTATTTCAGAGTTGGCTGTGTTCCAGAGTGAGCTCCTCACTCAGGCCTTAAAGTGTCTCTTTTAGTGTCCTCCCTCCTTGTGAATGTCAGCACCGCCCTTCTGCATTCATGCCATAGGTGTTGGGGACGTTATGGACCCTGTCCCAGTGACTAGCGCCTCAAATTTTAGTGTTTCCCCTGCTTTCTCATGCGCTATTATCTTTACTTTCTTTTCTGAGTCTTTACTTTCTTTTGTCATGCTCTCTGCTGAAGTCCCTCTTTCTATTCCTTTTGACCACATTTACTGCTGTAGTCTTACAGCATTCATCCTACCTCAAACTGTTTGCTAACTCTTCATTGCAACCCACACTCCACATAAGTAGTAAACTCATCCTTCTCAAGTGTAATCTTTATGATACCATTCCTTTAGACTTAGTGTGAATATTTTATTAGTACTAAAGTGATTATTCTATAATTATTAAATGTAATTTCCGCGGTATCTTACCAATTTCATTTCTATGTATTTTTCAACTTGTTCCTTCACCATCACAGAAATAAATTTGTCCATGCTTGAATAAATTATGGGTATTGCAATTTTGGTTTTTCTTTTGTGTTTTGTTCATAGCTCTCTCTTTTCTGCCATTTTAGTTTTAGTCTATTTTTCCAGAAATGATTTTTAAAACTCACTGCTTGACAACCTTTAGAGTTTGGGGACATTCAAATACATAAGTTCTGAGTATTGTGAATTTAGATTGCCTTCACAAGTTGCTTTATTGATTCATATGTTTGTTCTATTTAAAAATTAAATATTATAAGATGTCAGCATAATATACATAACAGACAAATGAAGTGCTGCGACAGGAGACTGTTTCTACTAAAATTGGCACAGAAAACAATTCAAACTGGCCTTAAAAGAAACCTTAAACTGTAGTGATGCTTCCAAAACAAAACACAAAACTAAACCCACCAAAAACCTCTTAAGAACATACATATTGGAACCATTCTGGATAAGAAAATCGTTTTTTTTAAAATGATCTTTTACATGCATCTTAAAAATATTTTAAAATGTAATCAGGTAAGTTTATTAAATAGTAGTCAAGTACCATTTTACTGTTTTCTCATGTATAGTTATCTTTTCAGGTTCTAGCTCCTTTGAATCTCAAAAAATGGATCGTCCTTCAATCTCTGTTACCTCTCCTATGAGTCCTGGCATGCTAAGGGATGTCCCACAGTTCTTATCTGGACAACTTTCAGTATGTAATCTCTAACTTAATTTATTGTTTCAGAATATCAAATAGTATTTTTTAAAATATGTTGACTTTCATAAACTGAGTTCTTCCTAGGACATTATTGTATTTTTAACCATGAACTTTTAATTCTTACACTTTTTAAGAAATTAAAATTCAATTTTGATTATTTATTGTAGTGCTTTTTATTAGATCTAGATTTTCTGGATTTTATTAAACTAGATTTTGTTAAGACAAGGTAATTTTTAAGTCAAGTATTATTTCAAAATTCAAGGTCATGATCTTGCTTTGTATTATAAAATGACTAATTTACCAATGATTTTAAGAGAAATAAAATACATACAAAGCTAATATTTAAAACTAAATATGTCGTTTTTATAACTTTCCAGTCTTTGAAAAATTTATTATGTATTTAATGGTAATTATTGGAGTACGGAAATTGCTCTAAAATAATGTGATCCTTTGGATATCCTTGTCAATAGATAAAACCAAATTAAAGAGGTCATATGTAATCAATTCCTGATTATGTGCTAGGTGATTTCACATTAAGTGATCCTTCAATTCATCGTTTCCTAATAGAAAGTTAAAAATCAGTTATGCATTTTATATCATGTTCATTTGCAGAGCTTTGCAAATTTGTTTTATTCATTTGTTCAGTTGTCATTTACTTATAAGCCATTGAAAATATCAAGATATTTAAAATTATTCATTTATACATCAGAAAGGTTCAGGTTAATATGGTGAGTAATGTTGGCAATTACTGAACTTGAAATTTCATGAGTGTTTGGGAACTATTTATGTTCTTAAATACAGATGTTGAATTTTGGATAAAACATATTGGAGTTAAAAAAAAGTCCATGTATCAGATTGATATTTGAAGAGAAATAGAAATAGATTTCTTGGGGGGGGGGGATTAAATCAACTGCAAAATTTCCCCTGTTTTTTTGGGGGGGGAGGGAAGGGCAATGTGTTATTTAAATGTCTTCTGAAGTTTTTTCATATTTAAAAGTGAATTCTTCGAGTATAAGCAAAATTAAGCTATGAAAAATGACTCAGAAATTCCCTGAACGTGTCTTAGCTGTTACTGTTTTGAACCACAAAGGTGACAATAACAGAAATACGATGCATACGTGATGAGCTAGGGTGCTGTACATATCTCACTAAAATGATTTTTTTTCTCTTTGTGATTTTCTTTTCCTTTCTGTTTCACAGAGTGAATATTTTATTTTGAAAATAATGGTGCATTTTCAATCTCTATAATAAATAGCATTTTTCCATATATATATATATATACTATGAATTTGTGTGTTTGTGTGTGTGTGTATGTAGATGGCTTGAGTTTGTGGAGGAGATAGTAGAAGTTGAATTTCCCTTAAGAAGGGTTAATACTTCCTGTCTTGTTCATAGTCTCAAGGTTTCATTATGGTTTGGGCAAGGAGAGAGAGTTGAGATCATAGCATAGGGATTTAGTTAAACTTTGGATTTAATGACTTAATGTTTAAAATGAATGTTTTAAAAAGATGAGGCTGTCAAATATTTTGGGGAGATACAAAATTGAGGTTTCATTTCTAAAGGTAAGTGTGATAGTGTATAGCTAAACCCTTTTGATTTGTGATATTGGCTTAATTTCCATGTAATTACGATTTAAAACATATGCTATTTTCTCATTTTCTTATGACTTGAAAAGGTTATTGTATACTATGAAACTGACAGCAAAATTTTTGCCAACATATGATTGTAATTTAAACACACACAGCCCTACACTTACTCACAAATATGAATGCTGATGGCTGTAATTCGTATTTATTGTGTCTACTGTAGGAAGTTAAAAATGTTTTAGCCAAATTACACTTACCAAGTTTAAAAAATATATGTTAAATTCTGACCCCAGGTCTGCCTTAGTGTTAATTTCTTAAAATACAAGCGAGCAAGATAACAATGGATTGCACTCTCTTGTAATCTGTTCAGTTTGTCCTCATTCTATTTAATCTAGGAAAATCTAAATAGTATGCCATCCTGGGATTATTTCCTTTTATGTTCAAGTGTTTCTGTACAGCCTGTAGGCAGTTTGACTTGTCTTAATGATACAGAATTTAGAAAAACTATATGTGTTAGAAAACTGTATCACCCTTTGGGAAAATTCTTAGGAAATCACAAGATGAGATTATAGTTCATATTTCCTTTTAAATCTTATGTTTGAGTAAGTTTGCTTTTGCTGAAATGTTAGTGAGGCTGATATCACATTTACATAATCACAAATCACCAATACCAGAGGGCAAAGATAATTTTCATACGATATGATTTTATTTTCCTAATGGATTATGCTAGTTCAATCACTGATATTTTGCAAGTAGAAAATTAGACATATATTACAAATTTATGTACAATTTCATAAATTTGTATAAAATTAGACATATAATGCAAATTTGTATGCATTTACATTTCATAATGAATTTTTAAAAATATTCAATTTTTTTCACCCCCATACTTGGTTGTGTGGCAGCTCATTATTCTAACACAGAACTATGAGAAGTGACATTGTTGCATGTGGCGGGAAATCTGCAAGAGGTGTGTTTTATGCCTCCTGGACTGTATGTTCACCTTTTCAGTTTGTTCTTTGCAGAGTTCCACTGTTTGATTTCTTTTTCTGTTTTTGTATTATCCTAGAAATGTGCAGCTTTTTCTTCAGAGGATTACTTTTCAATTTTGAATATTCAAAAATTACTTTGTAGTCTTTTTTTTTTAAAAAAAGATTTATTTGTTTTTATTGGAAAGTCAGATATATATAGAGAGAGGAGGAGAGACAGAGAGGAAGACCTTCTGTCCACTGACTGACCCTTCAAGTGGCTGTAATGGTTAAAGCTGAGCCAATCTGAAGCTAGGAACCAGGAGCTTCTTCTGGGTCTCCCGTGCAGGTGCAGGGTCCCAAGGCTTTGGGCCATCCTCTACTGTTTGGTTTCTTCTTTTGGAAAAAAGAGGAATCCTGAAAATGTTCATGGAAAATGTAAATCATGCGATAAACTATGCAAGGCTATCAATTTTTTGCACCAAAATAAACATTTTCTTTCACTTCCTTTTGAAGGACATTCATATCTCCATACAAAAATCTAGATGACTTGATTATAGATTGGTTTGGATTTCATAGGAAAAGGAAAAAAATGAACTATATTTGAATGATAGTCCATGCTACACATCCGGTTTCCTTTGGATTGTTAGTGCCTATCTTCAGACAACTCCTGTGTCATTTTGATCAAGTCCTACGGCAGAAAGAAGCCTTCAGTGATTTGTGATTTGGCAGATTGGAGAGGGACATCCTTAAGAAATGTGAAGCGTGGAGTGGAAGTCTGAGGAGAACAGCAGAATTAAATGCTGAGGAACCTCAGAGATAATGTCTCGTTTTATTGTTTTATTTAACTTCGCCATACCCTGCTGAAAGCCCAACATTTTTGTCATGGTATATTTTGAAAACAGTTTAAAAATCAAGACAAAACGTTATTAAAGAAAATAAACTGTTTAATTTTTTACTTAAAAAAAACACTGATTTAATTGAAACTAGGTGTTTCTCTGTTTTCCAGCTATTTTCTCTAGATATAAAAATGTATGCAGGAGTTTATCTCTTTTTTGAGTCTTGTTTCTTCATGCATAAGCTACCTACAATAGCAACTCTATCCTAGCATTGTTTATTTAATTGTGAGTTAATAAACTTGAAATAAACTGTCAAAAGCTTGGAAAAATACTCTTAAAAACTGTATGTATACAAGGAAATATATTATTGGTGATAAGCGGGGTTAGTAAGTAGTCTTAAGTGTTACATATTAGATGGCATTTAATCTTTATATCTGCTGTAGATTCTTAAAGTCTTAAGTGATTTATTAATTCAGCTCATTCCAGTACACTTTCATTTCTCAAGGTGTGTGTGTGTGTGTGTGTGTGTGTGTGTGTGTATACGTGCGTGTGTGTTAAATTTCAAAGCCAATTTGCTAATGCTTTTTAGGTTTTGCTTAGACACACTCTGTAGATTTAGCACAATTATTTGCTTGCGTGTGTATTTACTGATAATCCTATAATATGCTTTCATCTAACTTATGGGACTTTTTTCCCTATGTACAGACGGCCCTCAGTATCCATGGGTTCTGTATCCATGAATTTAACTGACCTAGGAGGGAAGATATTTGAAAATTTGCATCTGTGCTGAACGTGTACAAACTTTCATCATTATTACCTAAATGATATAGTGTCACAACTATTTATTCTCCATCAGGATTGCCATCTAAAGATGGTTTAAGAGTATGTGGAGGATGTGGGTGGATTAGATGCAAATATTACCCCAGTTAAGTCTTGGGCTTTCCTTACTGACTTTAACATCTGTTGGTTGGTGGAACTAGGAGCAATTCCCTGGATGTTGAGGGACGGTTGTAATGTGCTTAAGTATATAATCTGATATTTCTTGATTCTTAGGTGATGCTTGCAGTCATTCTTGTAGAATATTTGAGCTCAAATATATCATTTTTGTATTCAGTCTTAATTCTTATGCTGACTACACTGTGAATAATTTATTAAGCAACTCATAACATTTTGTATTGTTTGTGTATTTTAGCACTTGACAACATTAATTTATTCATTACATTGACATACTTACTTTAGATAAATACTATAATGGGAAATTGTATTTAAGGGATATTAGTATGTGTTTGTTTTTACTTTACGTCTCTTAGTTCTAGCGTGGTGTCTTTTTTGGTTTTGTTTTATTGCCTTTTTCTTTAATTTTGCTTACCAGAGCCAAAGCCTTAGTAGAAGAACAACGCCTTTTGTTCCTAGGGTCCAGGTAAAGGCCGTGTCTGCCTGATAGAAACTAAAGTTGTGTGTACACCCTTCTTTGTATGTTTTTGGAAAATGCGTAGTAGGAAAACTTTTTTTGGTCTGTTGCTCCAAACCATGTTATTGACTTTCAAATCATTTTCTGAGTCAGCTTGGAAATTCTGCATGGGGATTAGACTACAAAATAAAAATTTAAAGAGACAATCTTTGTTAGTGATTGTTATATGACAATCTAACTACTAAAACCAGTAGGTTTTGAAATGGTATTTAATGTAGATTTAACTTAGATTTTACTTATATATAGAATATTTATGGCAATAGCTAATTATGCTGTCAGTGTTTCCTTTTGTTGTGCTGAGGTTGCTGTCTCTTTAAATCGTTCATTGTGTCATTTAACATCTACATTTTCTTGCATTTTCCAAGCAGTAACTCCTTGAGGAGATTGGCAAATATATTTGTACCTTATTTCAACTATGCATATTTCATAAACAGTTAAACTTTTTGAAAGTATATTCTTTTGGAAAAAAACAAATCACAATCCAGATACAATGTGCTAGGTTTACTTTCTTTATATATTTTGTCATGCCAGTATATTTTACCATAATACTTGGGTACAAGTTGTTTGCCTCTTTTCATTAGGAAACCCTTGTAGGGTAAAATAGTATCAACCTAGCTTTCCTAAGCATAGTATTATCCCTTCCTTGCTTTGCTGCATGTTTAAAAAATATTTTTGGTCTTAGATAATAGTTATTTTGTTCAAATTTGAAGAATTAAAATTATTCTACTTAAGATTACAATAAACATTATCTGCTTGTGCTGTTCAAGTTCTACTCAGGAAAACTAAAAGAGTTATATGGTAAATCTGGAATAATTATATGAAAATGGTTAAAATGACATCATGATGCCAATAGGCTTATTTTAATCATTTATTGTACAGCTACAGATAGGCAGTTTAGGAGCATTATTAAGAAGTTAGGAAAAAAGATTCATAAAGTTGTGGATAATATAAACTGGGGATCCACTAAAAATTACAACCTCAATGCAATTCCACAAATAAAGCCTAGGTCGAATAATCAAACCTTTAGTTTAAAATAGGTTATTATAAAGTATAATTTTGATCAGATTATCAGTAAAAACAATATATGATTGTCTCCTAAATAATTGATTTTTATATTTATGTTTTAAATATAATTGAATAAGCGATGGAGTATTATTACAAAAATGTGAATATCCATGCTTAACAACTGTTTGCATGAGAAATAGAAATTAGTAGGTGATGTTTTTGGTTTCCAATGTGTGGCTCATTTATGTCATGATTTTTACTGAGCAAAAACACTGCATTGGCATAGTAACACTTCCTAGCTTCCGCAGGCCTTTTTTTGTGGAAAAAAAACTCACAGAGATTGAAAATTACTTCCAATAATTACCAACTTCATTTCATGATTATAAATACTATTTGTTTGCTACTTGTAAAGTTTATTAAAAAATTTTATTTTAGTGTGTTAAGATAACTTTTTCCTTAAGGTGTCTTGTATACATGTAAATATCCTCTGAAGTGATTTTAAGTATCTTGGAAAAATATAGTTTCCTTTATTAGTAGTAAAGATAAAAAATCATGAGAATTAATCTGCTCTTAGTCACAGGTTGTAGAGTAATTATAACATTGTCTATGACATCTCATCTCATGCACAATGAGACATTGCTGCATCTCGTTTTTTTTTAACTCATGTTTTTGCAAGAAGAATTTAATTTTCCTTTGCATTCCCCTAACTGAATGTATATTCTAATATTGTTAATTGAGCAAATTATCAAACATCTCCCTTTTCAAATACTGAGGACCTTTTTTCTTCAGATTGTTGATCCCTTAGTCTAAAGAAGTGGTTTTCAAGCTTGGATGCCTGCAGGGATCACCTGTAGGATTTGTTATAAATCTATTTTCAGGGCTTATTCTGATTCAGTAGATGACAGATAGACCCAAGAACTTTATAAATTTTCAGTGAATAAACTGAGTAATATTGATGCAGGATGTGTATTAACTGCAGCTTCAAAGGCAGTCTTCAAGCATCCACTTTACTTAAAAGCTCCATTAGGAAAACATGTTTTTCTTTATACAAAGGAGAGAAGAAGGAATAACATAAGAATTAGTAATTATGATTTTTAAATTTTATGTATCTCTTACATTTATTCCTATAGAAAAATTTGGCCAAAAAAGCAAATAGGAATAATTTACTTGCTCTATTTAGCTGTCAATTACCTCTTCTCACTCAAAAGTTACTTATTCTCTCAAACCCCACATTTTATAGTAAGCCATTCAAAAAAGCATGCTAGGTTTGGAAGTGGACTCCCAGTGTAACATATATAATCATAATAATCATTATTGTTATTTTCAAGTTCTAAATTTTTGATTCAGTATCAATTTTAGGATACTGGTTAGTGATGTGTTGAGTTGTGAACCAAAATGTGGATTAGAGCCATGGTTGTTCAGGATTCTGACTCATAATTAGCTAGCAAAGGAGTAGGAGGGTGTAAGCTGTGTGTGCAAGAGTGATGACTTAAATCAAATGTCTTCCGCAGATTATTGTGAAGTTCCAGTTCCTAATTATGGCACAGGAAAGTTAATTCACATTCTTATCTAAAATCATAAATGCCCTTCTATTATTTTGGAAATGTGAAGCATTTACTTCACAAAAGAAAGAGGCTTTATGGATAAGCAAGAAAAATTTTGAAAGATGCACTTAAAAGTTTCAAGTAGAAACTGAAATAATTTGTTAACTAACACTACTAGTGAATTCCCATAACTTACAGTCTTTGATAAGGTCTTTGGCTGTAGAATAACATAAAACATTTACTTAAAATGTCCCCTTGATTGTCATATAACCAAGTTATTGTCAACTTAGTTAATTTTGAGTACTTATTCTAAAAGAGAGTCCAAGATGAACTACCGTGATGTTCATTTTGTAAATGTAAGCAAAAACACGGAGCAATCAGTGTACATAAAGTCCTTAATTATAATGTAATTGTTATATACATGATAATAAACACATGCTATAGGATAATTAGAAAAGCTAAGAATTTAGCTCCTTTAACAGACCGTCTGAATCATTTTTTTTAATTTGTTGAAGTTATGATTATACATGCTTTTAACTAAGCATAATTTGCCAAGTGAAATTTATGTTATGTGCTATTATTAGTAAGAGAATGGCAATAAGTTTGGAAATGAAAACAGTATAATTGAGTTAATAGATGAATATTTATTGCTTTCCAGATAAAACTATGGTTTGACAAGGTTGGCCACCAACTCATAGTTACAATTTTGGGAGCAAAGGATCTCCCTTCCAGGGAAGATGGGCGGCCAAGGAATCCTTACGTTAAAATTTATTTTCTTCCAGACAGAAGGTAGGTATATAAAATAAAATAAGTGTTCAGTAACAATGAGTACTTCAGTTCTATGTCGTTTGTTTTTCTCTATCATAAAGGTGCATATTTTAAACATAACCATAGGCATAAAACTTCCTAGAAACCAAATATTGGCAACCAATAGTTGAGATTATATAAAGTTTAAATGTTTGTTAACATATTTTTGAATATTCATTTTAGGCATGTGTGGATTATTTATTAAATATTTTCAACACAATTTTGGTGTCAACTGAAACATATTCCTTATTCCTCCTTATTCCTCTATAATTTCTACCTCTCCTTATCAAGATTTTTTCTGTTTCATAAAACTAGCAAGTGTGTTTTTATGTTTCATCGCCTTATTTAGGAAAGTTACCCACTCAGTATGGATACTGTTTTGTCAAGCATATGTTTATCTCTGTTCTCATTAACATAAATTATATGGTTGTAGTCTTACACAGTTTCTTTCAGGTCTCTGAGTAGACTTCATGGAAAGGGATGGGAGGCCATACTTCTATAACGTCCTATATAGAATTTTTAGTTACAGTGCATTTCTCTTTTATATTTTGAATGGAAAATTAAGAATTTGGATGCTATACTAAGCTAAATAAAAATAAAGATCCTGGTAATATGAAATTAATCGGAAAAAGTGTAGGTTAGATTTCAATTTTATCAGGAAAAAACCAATTACATTCTCTATAAATTAATGATTTTTAGAGATTCAAAAATTTTAACATCATTAGGTTGGTATCAAAAATATCTCTGTAACATGTTTATTGGTCTTAGTTTTTTAATGCTTGCAGCATCTTTTCAATTTTTGGCTTCTACAGCATGATTTGATGCTGAAGGCATTAGTTTGATTCCTAGAAAAAAGGATTTTTTTTCAAAGATTTATTTATTTTTTTTGGAAAATAAAAGGACTATTTTCTTAATGTGCGAAAATAAGATTTATAGCATTATTCTTTTAAGTGAATTTGGGCTTCATTTAACATTAAATTGCCTTATTAAGCTGCGACCATATATATTGGGTTTGTAAGGAGCTTCCAAAATTACTCCCTCCCCCCGTTTCTACCCAATATAGAAATCCATTTTAGGAATACTCATACTTTGAGGGTTTTATTTTCATCTTTAAGAATAGTTACTAGCTCATTCTTTTGTTCTGCTTTGGATTTCAGTGAAGTTATCCTTTAATTAGTAAGTTCCTGCTAAATGCATCCTGCTTGGACTTCAGAGAAGGAATTTTATTTATTGATACGGTCTCAGAATTCATTCTTTCACTACTGTGATATAAATAGACAATAAATAAGTATGTAAGATTTTGAAAGGCAAGAGGAGAGAAAGACCTGAGAAAAATCATAGTACTTATAATTATTCCCAGAACTTATTCCTTTACACAATGTCACTTCTTTTCCATTTCGAAATAAAATATGCTACACAGCTTTGAACATTTATCTTCCTACCAAATTAAGACAGATGTGATGCATATAAATTCATGTCAGTTACTATATTTATTTATTTTTTATTTTTTTATTATCATTAGTTGTTTTTTTTTTAATAAAATTTATTTTGACATTCTTTACATAGTTAATTAGGGTAAGAAAGTTCAAGGGCTACAGGAAAGTGGATAATACTAGTATGTTTTCCATATTGTTACCTTCATGTTTAAAGGGGGGTATTAAGGGAGAAGGTCCACCCAATTTCCCATCCTCCCCAGGTCCTGGATGTAGGGCATGCTCTGAGGTTCTTGCTCAAGTGGTTTTGATATTGCAACTGTTATGAATCGCTCTCAATCTTGCCACTCCAAGCACTATGAGGTCTTTGAAAAATCCACTGATTGACATAGTCCATCATAGCTGAGATGGTTGGTTGACCCGTTCTGTCTTCTCTCTTTTCTTCGTTAGGGTTCTGAGTCCAGCATTTAGATTAGGAAGATCTCCAAAGAAACTTCTTGTATGTGCTAACAAGTACAGGGCCTGGCACCGTCCATCGCTCCAATCAGCTGGTGGTTGCAATTGCTGGGTTGGTTCTGTTTTCACTCTCGACTTCCACTGGAACCAATGGGTGTTGCAGTCCAGCCTGGTTCTGCCCCGCACATACTTGGCCCTCACCTAAACCAGTGGGAGCTGCAGCCTAGTTGGAGCGACCCACAATAACCCCCACCAGGCCCGCCCCCTACCCTGGTTTGCCAGTAAGTGTAGCAGTAATCCAGTCTGTCCCACACCCCATTCCACCCCAGCCGCTATCTTAGTTTTATGTCCTCCTGTGGAAGTGGTAACCCAAGAGGGATGAGCCCACTATTTCCCTCCCAGGCCTCTCCCACTCCCAGATTCCAGCTGATGCTGCGTCTAAGCCCAAACAACCCTCGCCCACTTTAATTTTGTTTGCACCAGTAGGAATAATCCGCCGAGCCCGGCTTTTCCCTGATCTAGTCCACATGAGGCGCACAGGTGTGGTAGCTCTGCCTAGTCTGGTCTGCCCCCATCCCAGCCTATGCTCTCCTGTGGAAGTAGCTGTCCAGCAAAGGAACCCTCCCTTATTCCCCTGCCGGCTCTGCCCACTTCCTTTCTTGTTCTCAGGCTGGTTGGGCACTGTGGTCCCTTCCGGTACAGGCAACCTCACCTCGGCATTCCATATTGTGCACTAGTCTTTGTTGCGACCGAACCTGGGTCGACCCACACTGGTGCCTGGATTTGCCAGTGGATGACATGGACAGCTTCAGCCTGGTCTTGCCCCCACGTCTGCCAATTGTATGCCAGTGTGTAGCTTTCCATGGCCTTTTCTGGGCTGTTTCCTATCATGTTTCTTGCGCTGACCTGCCGGGTCTGTGTCCTGCCAGAGGAGTTGCCCAGGCTCCTCCATCAGAACCTCTCCCAATGCCAGGTTTCACGCTTACCAGTGGGTCCATGAGCCAACCCTACTCAGTCCACCTCCTGTCATGGCAGGAACTGTGGCTTTTCCTGACTGGCCTTCCACCCAATCTGGTTCTTGCTGTTGGATGTTCCAGCCCAGCCATAGTTTGTCCATACCCACGTATGGCTCACACATGGCTCAGTAGGGGTTTGAGACCTTGTCTAGTCCATCCCATATCTGCCCTGGTCCTCCAGGACACCAGAGGGTGTTGGGGTCCAGCCCGGTTCGGTGCATTCAATCCCAGTCCACACTTGTGCCAAGGGAGACTACAACTGTTTCCAGATCAGAATGCAGCCCCCCTTCCAGGCCACATGCCTCTTGGTGGGAACCTCAGCCCAGCTAGGGTTGTCCCCTTTGCTCCCCAACCAGGCCTATTCCCAGCCATAGATCACTTGCCTGCCAATGGATGCTCTGACTCAGCTTGGCACAGCCCCTCCCCTGTCCCAAACTCTGCCTTAGACACTGTGGCTTAGCGTCCCTGGCTCACGCAGACCAGTAGGTACAAGAGCCTAGCTCGGCATGACCTTTGCTTCCTCCTGGTTTCTAGTTTTACTTGTGGGCTAAGGTTTGCTCAGTCGTGCCTGATCTACTCTGTTCCATTACCAGTTGACACATTAGCCAGCTGTTGGAGCTACTTTTGCAGGACAAGCCCCAAGCCATAGCTTCTGCATGGACTGGTATTTGGTGCTCAGCATTATTAGTGATTACAAGTTTTACAAAGGAAGAGTTACTGCCTGTTTCAGGTCCAAGAAGCACAATGGGTTCAACCTGGAGCTAATTAAGCAGCGACTCAAAGAACCAAATCCCCAGAGCTCCCCGGCCGGGTGGCCAGCAGGTGGAGCCTGGCACCAAATGGCGCACTGGCCGCCCGGGGAACAGCTCACCATGTGCACATGGTGGCTGTCCAGGATCCAGGCATGAGACGCCCCATCCTGAGACCCACCAGCTGCTGGGAGGCTGCTGGAGGTTTAAATTCCCAGGCCCAAGGTCGCGCCCCTCCCAAATCCCATTCACTGCCCAATGAAGGCAGCGGGTGGGTCCTGGACATGCCCAGTCCCAGAGACCTCCCCCCTCGGTCTACTCACCCCGAAGGAAGTGGCCCCCGGAACCCAGCAGGCCCGGGAAAAGCTCACCATGTGCACATGGTGGCTGTCCGGGATCCAGGCATGAGACGCCCCATCCTGAGACCCACCAGTTCCTATATTTAAAGGAAGCTTTCTGCTGTATTAAATATGTTTGATCAGAAAACATGTATTGTCTCTAGAACATTCAAGTCTAATCTCTATTAACAATTAAAGTTACTTTGCTTCCCCATTTCAGAGACACTCTTGACTTTATTCTCTTTCCTCCCTGTGTTTCCCAACACTCTTAGAACTGTCTTGTGTTCTATTTGGAGTTGATTTTCTGTGTGGTTATCATTCAAATAGGTTCTCTATGGAGTCTGCAGTTTATTCCTGTTGCTATCCCTTTTTCTTGTATCTGGTCATTGATCCTAATATCTTAGAGAAGTGATGTCCAAATTGGAGAGGGGTAGTTTTGCTGATATGTAAAAATTCTTGAAAAAGATTCTTGAATTAACAGTCTTATCATATTATTTTTTATCTTTTATGTTAATGTATTTCCCAATATATGTAACTTTTCAGTACCACTGGTAATACTTATAGGAAATTAATAAATAAATGTGCAAATGATGAGATAACAAATTGTTCAGTTTATGAAGGCATACAACCTAAGAAAGTATGATAACCTCTGAGTTGAGAATCCCATCAAATGGTCATCTTCCATTTCAAATTTACACTATAGTGGCTGTCTTACATATAATTTTCAAGATTTTAAAAGACGTAGTATTTGTGAAATAAACAAATATTTATTATGTGTAAGAGTAATTTCATAAGGTGCAAATAGTAATTACTGAGTAGATAAACTATGGGTATAAAGCTGTGGACATGAGTATGTATATACGTATTTTGTATAATAAGACTTGCACAGGGTAAGTTAAGGGTATATGTAATATTACTGCTTAAATACTGTCATTAGGATTTCCAGTGGGACCTTACGTTCAAAATTTGAATTATTATTTTCCAGTCTGGTCCTATTATGGTTTTAAGAAAGATAAAATTTTCAATTACTATTTTTGAGAAAAAGTAAAATTCATTGAAATGTCATTAAGTATGACAGTGATTGAAAATAAAGTATGATGCAGTTACATAGCTTACAAATTTTAATAGTAATTTTAAGGGTTATAATAATTTCAGTGTATAACACATTTGTGGTTTAATAACTTCTCTCCAGAAAAGCAATAACTTCATAAATTTTAGGAAAAATGTATTATTTAAATTTTTATACTTTTATTTTTTTATAGCGATAAAAACAAGAGAAGAACTAAAACTGTGAAGAAAACATTAGAACCTAAATGGAATCAAACATTCATTTATTCTCCAGTTCACCGAAGAGAGTTTCGGGAACGAATGCTTGAAATAACCCTTTGGGATCAAGCTCGAGTTCGAGAGGAAGAAAGTGAATTCTTAGGAGAGGTATCTGAACTTATTTGAAAACTTACATTGTTCATGTCATGCTGATTATTTTTATATGACAGTCAATGGAATTTTATATTTCAAATCTCTAAAATAAGCATTTTTTCTTTAATGAATGTAGCTACAGCTGGGGCCCGCATGGTGTTGAATAGGTTAATTCCCTGGTTGCCAGCGCTGGCATCCCATGTGGACGCCGCTTTAAGTTCTGGCTGCTCCTCTATTGATCCCAGTTCTGTTTATGATCTAGGAAAGCAGTCAAGGATGAATCAAGTCCTTGTGGCCCTGTACCCACCTTAGGGACCCAGACGATGTTCCTGGCTCCTTGCTTCAACTCAGTTCAGCTCTTGACTTTGATAAAATCTTTTCAGCTCCAGCTGTTGGGGCCATTTGGAGAGTGAACCAGTAAATGCAAGATTTCTCCATGTCTCTTCTTCTCTATATAAGTCTGCCAAATAAAAAATAAAAGCAAATAAATCTTTTTTTTTCCCATTGGAAAATCAGTTGTACAAAGAGGAGAGAGAAAGATCTTTCATCTGATGGTTCACTCCCCAAGTGGCCACAACGGCTGGAGCTGAGCTGATCTGAAGCCAGGAGCATCTTCTTCTTCAGGGTGTCCCATGTGGGTGCAGGGTCCCAAAGCTTTGGGCTGTCCTTAAATGCTTTCCTAGGTCTCAAGCAGGGAGCTGGATGGGAAGTGGAGTAGTTGGGACAAAGACCAGCACCCATGTGGGATCCCAGTGGATGCAAGAGAAGGACTTTAGCCACTAAACTACCGCAGCAGACCCCAAATTAAATACATCTTTAAGAAAGATAAACATAGCTTCTGCTTTCAAAGTTTATCAACACTATATAAAATGGTTCTGAAAACTGATAATTTTGTATTTTTGTTCTTACTATGGAAATTTTGCTGTTGAAAAGATTGCATTATGTTTCAAAACTGCTTTGTTTTTTATTACATTTCATTTTATGACATCGTTTCATAGGCTTAAAACTGCTTTGTTTTTTTAATGTAAATATGTGGTGTGTTGTATATATCTATACCACTGTTAAGTAGTAAAATTTATTCATAGATTGATTTTTAAACCCTATAGTGTTCCAGGCACTGTGTTAGAGACTGAGCCTTAAACTGTGAAGAAGGCATATAACTTCAAGAAAGTTGCAATCCACTGGGAATCTAGACAGTAAAGTAACACTTTTGCTAGAACACGCAAACTGCTTGCTATATTGAGATAAAGGCAACAGGATTGTAAAACTATCATGCAAGTGAGGAATGCTCAAAGTATTTGGAAAGGAAGAAAATTTAGCAATGTCAAGAGAAGTTACTCCTGCAGAGGGAAAAAGACATAAAGAGCCAGAGGTTTTTGTACAATAGTATTAAAATTGGAAGGGCAAATGGTAAGAAATGAGACTTGCCTACTACAGTGAATTCAAATCAGATCCCTTACCATATTAAGACATTTGAATGCCTCCTTTGGCTAAGGAAAACCAGTGATTGATTTACAAAGAGATTGATTTGATGGCTTTAGGGCTTGAGAGAAGTATTTTTAATTGTAATGTGGATAATGAATTGGAGAAAGGCAAGATAGGAAGCCTTGTTGAAAAATAAGCCTATAAACAATTTGAGAAGCCAAATGACAAAGTTGTGGGCAATAGACATTCTGCCCTAGTGGTGTGGATGTATGAATTTCCTGCACAACTATTGAGCAAGTTGTTTCATCTTTGTGCTTCCTTAGTTAGCCATAAGAGAATAATTACGATTATAAATGAGTGCTGTGGTGTGTGTAAACAGAAGGGACATAAATGCTTATGTTGCAAATGACTTGGGGGAATTTGGTAGAAGCTAAATAATATCTTGGCTGTTTTGCTTGTTTACTTCCTGTAGCTAAAAAGTAATGTGTTTTCACACAGCAATCCGTGCAAACACAAATGTACTTTCTCACTTGGATAATACCTTAAACAGAAATAGTCATTTATTTATACAGACTGATTTCTTTTATAATGTTCAAACATATTCTTAACACAAAAGCCATAATATAGTTCTCAATTAAACCCCATTCTTTTGATTCTTTTTTTCCTTTTCTTTTTTAAATCCATAAACCATCGTATGTTGAATCCATAGTTTTACGACAGACTGATTCATATGATATCATTCACTAATGAGCTAGTTGTGTTTACAAATAAGTTCTTTTAATCATTTTTGGCATTGGTATCATATTGATAAAAGTTAAATAAGAAGAGTGAAATTAAATATAAGAGTAAAATTTTCCTAGTAGCAGTCTGTTAATTAAATAACAAATTGTTAGAAATCTTAATGTATGGTATGTACTTTAAAATAGCTTTTCTTTCCTAATTCAAGATTTTTAAAGTTTAAATTAGTTATTATAAAATAATATGCATTTTATTATTATAGAACTAAAAATATTATTTCTGTAATGGTAAACTTAACAACATCTAGTAGGTGAAAGGTCAAAAAATCTACAGATTGCATATCTTAGGTATTAAATGACTAGATAACAAAGAAATTACAGAAAATTTTATCTAGAGATTACTGAAACATATTGATAGTTTTCCAACCCCTAAATGATTTGGTTTTTGATCTAACATTGTTCTTATTATAACGATTATAGAAGATACAAGACCCTTAGAACCTGTTTTGATTGATGCATCTAACAGTCTTTTTTTCTCTTGGGCTTGTAGATTTTGATTGAGTTAGAAACAGCATTATTAGATGATGAGCCACATTGGTACAAACTTCAGACCCATGATGTGTCTTCATTGCCACTTCCTCGCCCCTCTCCATATATGCCTCGAAGACAGCCCCATGGGGAAAGCCCAACGCGGAGGTTGCAAAGTAAGTTTCCAGAAAGTGTCACCACTGCATTTTCTAACTTTGAGTGAGTTGGATTTGGATATATTATTGAAATATTAAATGGTACCTGTTAGTAATATTTCATAGCTGTTATGGAGGAATTTAAATGGTTTCATTCACTAAAATAAGTTCACACTGTTTACTCATCACAATTTTGAAGTGCATTACAGTTGTGTTTTGGGTGATATTACTCTAAAAGATCACATGATACATAAATCCTAGTACTTAGAATTTTAAATATAAGAATCAGATAGCAGACTTATAACTACCAAAAATTATGATTTATACTTTAATTTTCCAGATATTTTATGAATTTGTAGGACAGCAAATATACCATAGTGGTTTTTTTTTTTTACATTGGAACTGTATGGCTTGAGCAGATTATATCTTATGCCTTATTTTGTTTATTTATGAAATGGAAATGAAAATGCCTATTTTATACAGAGTTTATAAGAATTAAGTAATGTAAAGTGGTTTTGTTAAAATGTTTGCATTTTGGATGAGACTTGAGTATCATCTTAATTTTGAAGCAAAATTAGATCAATCTGGAGAAAATCAGAATAAAGTCAGAAATGTTTGGAGAATGAAAAGTGTTATTTTTGGTTCTGTGAATCTACAGTTTAAGGTTTGAGATTTTTGCTTATGAATCTGTAATCAAAAGCTGAAGTAGATGCTTGCCGCTTTTGTTAACGAAGTCAACATATTCCAGGTTACAGTATAAAATTATTTGTGTATTTTAATAATGGTGTACAGTAACAAGACTTTAAATGTGTACATTTATAGTCATGAATTCCCTATCATTTATTAATCATCAGGAATACACTTGATACTATAATAAGTAGCTACTGACTAAATATATCATTACCTTCCTACTGTATAGGAAAATAAATCATGTATCAAAAGGCTGCTTGATGAGTAGAGAGGTAGGACAGAGTGATGTATGGCAGTCAGGAAAACTGGGAAAATTGCATTCAAGGTTTCAAAAATACTTGGAATTGTATTTTCTGTCAATAATCAAATATGTGGGTAATTTGTACTAATTGAAACTAATTTTGCAGCACTCCTGTTTCCAGCCTCCACACATCAACACTCATCCATCTCTTCTTTCAAATGCCATTACAATATTTTTGTTGTAGTTTTTATATTAGAATGAGTTTTATCAGAACTGATGCTTTTGTCGTGGCTGCTATCCTCTGTTCAACAAAATTTCACAAGGTCCACAAAGCAGGATAATGGCTTGTTACATGAAAGTGACTAATGTGTGTTGTAACCTACTAGAAGCCATTGCTACAGTAGTAATAGTTCATAGTGTAGAGGTGCAAGTCAATCTTACCTTTCCCAAAGAATTTTCCCATTCTCCACTGCTTTGGGTTGTTGTGATACAGAGCAGGTTTGGACTCCTAATGCATGAAGCTTTTATATCCACTCCTAGTTTCTGTTTTTCCCCTAGTTGATAAGTAACAGTATATGTGAAGGATAGTGCAAATAGAGTACTTCCTCAGTGAATGTATGTGTTATGAATTTTCATGCAATTAATTTAACTTTTAGCTTTTCTTCCCCCCCCCCGAACTGATTCTTCTTGTTACTTAGTTATTAATTACACTAAATTTTCCCAAGGAATAATAATGGCCTCACAGTAAATAATAATCAAGTCTGAAAATATCAGTCTCACTCATAGGGATTATATTTATTTTGTATTCTGTGTTGTAGTTCCCATAGACTAGGGAAAGCATATTTGTATTTTTGGAATTGGCTTACTGCTCAGGAATAGGAAAAATAAAAACCTGTCCTTTGCCATAAAATGGATATACCTTGAAAGTATTATTTTAAGCAATATTTTTGATATAGGATTCAGGTAGCTTTGAGTATCAGCTTTGAATGACCAATACAATTAAATTAAATATCAGGGTACTTCAAGACGCTTATGAAAATGGAAAAAGTTAAGTATTTTCTTACACTTTTAAGTGCATGCATGTGATTATATCAGTGTTATTAATGTGACAAAATAAGAATGTTGTATGTATCAAAATAATTCTAAAGATGTTGACCTAACTTTGTGGAAGCATTATACATTTTGAAATTGGAGGACATTAAGGATAACAAATATTAGATAAAGAAATAAAAAGCCTGTGAAAAACAAGTGGAAAAGGCATGGCCGTATTCTATTTGTTTACTTGTTTACATTATTGGTTCTTAGTGGGCTGACCATAATAATTACAATGTGTGAAGAGCATCATATGTGAGTAATTCCTTGTTTCCCTTCACAAACAAATCTCTAAATAACTTCAAATAGAGTTTACCATCACACTGCAAATATAGTTTAGTACATTGTGCTGGTATATGTTGTTCTAAATATCTGTCATCTGCAAATATGTATATGATTAAAATCCCTTTGTGAAGAATAATTTTAATACATCAAAGCATTTGGTGCCTAATCTTTTATTCTTACTTAAATAACTCCTTTAATAATTGTTAATCTTTCCATCACTAACATAGAATTTTAATTTTTAAAAATTGCAAAGAATCTTTGGCCTTCATAGAAAATGCTGATACTGACCCTATCTCATTTTTAGAAGTAAAATATTAGATGCTTTGTAATATCTTTTGACAAAGAACTAAAGCAATGTATTTTCTTCTTTTATTCTGTATTAAATGTACTGATGTCATTTTCACAGGTTTTAGAAATACAATAATCTTTCAAATAATCTCAAATTCATTAAATATTTTGTTCTAATCTTGCAGTAAAACTTGTACTGGTGAATTGTATCTTATTAGTGGTCGTCCTAATGATTTACCTTTGTGTTCTTTTTCCAAGTAGATGTTTTTTAGGGAAAATGTTATGAAAAGAAAATGACATGGACAACTTCTGATTTTCACATTAATTAGCAATAGCTATGTCTTTGTTCTATCTTTTTGCTTAAGGAAATGGTGAATGATTTAGAACTCTATGTACCGTAGTTACTAAGTCTGCTTAAAAAGTAACATGACATTTATATTTATTCACTTGTAACACCCCTCTGTCATACTGTTTCCTGCAAATTTTGGCTGCATACTTTGTAATCACCTCTTCATATCACAATGTTCTCTTTTCAGTAACTTACAGGTATGCTATTGACTATATGATTTTAAAAACATGTTTGCATATTTTGTGTTCTTGTTAAGGAATGCTTTCCTAACTCTTAAAACTCTTCTTTTACTTCATATGTTTTTTTGAGAAGTGATATTTTTTCATTATTACAACCCTCAAATTTTTTCTTCACTTTGTGATATAATAAGTAATTTTAAAATTTGAAGCATTACTAGTCCTTTTTTTATATTTTTATTTTTCACTGGGATCATATCATCTCATTATAATTTAATTTTAATTTGGTCAATAATTCTTTTATGGTATACTGGAACAGAAGCAAGTTATATACATACATTTCTCTAAGTTTTATTACATTACATTGGTACTCTGAGATTCATAATGTTGAATTACTATACTATGGAAATTGGCAAATGCTACAAATTCAGGTTTTATTTTTTCCAGAGAAATGGTTGTTAATATTTTACTAGTATAACACCTTGAGATTCAGCTTTTATAAATTATTGTAAGAAATTTAATGGATGGAGGTCTAGGAAAATCTAAATGAGTACTTATCTAAACTCCATATGAAAGCACTGGAAAGATAATTAATGAAATGTATCAGCACATTTTTTAAAAAGTGAGTATTAAAAAAAAATAAATAAAAAGTGAGTATTTTAAATTTATTGTCAACAAAGATATTATAAGGTAAATATAGGACTGTGCAGGATAATGCCAAAAATCTACTTCTCTACTTCTTCAGAATGCTTCCCTCAAATTTTAAAATTGAATATTAGGAAATAAGCTTTAATTATAATTGGTAAGCATATTATTTTCTTTAATTTATTGATTCATGTCACTATGTGGTATGCTTGCTGGGTTGCTAGTACAAATATTCCTTTAGATTTAAAATGTACACTCTGATGGTAATTTACTCATTCTTCAATGTGAAAATTACTTAATATTTTACTATCTTTTCAAACTTTGCTCTTTGTTAATAGGAAAATCTAATTTATATCTCCATAATTATGATCATTTTACAGGTTAGACTATCAAAACCTTTTTTTTTCTGTATGGTTTTTCAAAGTTTGCCTTAGCCTAAAAAGAATTTGGTTTTATGGTATGCTTCTTGTAGAAATTATGAATTCTAAAAAGAATAGTGCATCTTTAAAATTTTTTTAAAATTTATGCTCATCAGTTGCTTATAACATGTTAAATTTTTAAGAACATTGCTTTGTAATTCATATGTGTTATAAGATAGACTTGACAACATCGTTACGCTGCAGCCTATTTTTAATTTTTAGTTTTATGTATCTTCTCGTACTAATTTCTGCTCCTTGGGTATTATTTTTACATTTAGTTGAAGTTTTAATGAATTTAATTTATAATTTTAATCTGCTGTTTTGTTTTCCTTTCATATATTTTTCTGACAGAATAACTTTTATGCTTTAATGTAAAAATATCAAACTATGTATTCTTAAATATAGGGCAGTAATTACATGTCACTACTACTATCACATATAAAGATTTTTAAATCTATTTTTGACACTACTTTAACATTTTTTTCCAGATAAAGTATTATGTTCATATAATGCAGGTAAATTTTAGCATGTGAAATGTTTAATGCATGTATTCATATGCACATTAATTGGTTTGTTGTTTTGTGCTTTGTTTTACTTTTGTGCATATGTAAAGTTCCTAGCCAATACCTCAGTGGTTTATCCTATTTTCCTAATGAACATTTTCAATATTTCCTATTTCAAATACTTCCTATTTCAATTATTTTGGTGTTAAAAATCACTTGTTATAGTATTTGATTTATTATTTCAGTGTGTCTAATATTGTCTCTTAATGTGGCACTATTCCATCACTGAACTCTATTTTACTACAAGTAATGCTTTATGCACACTGTCTCCAA